TACATGGAGGAAAAAAATTTTCATTATCCATCTTTCTATAAGGGATCAAAATCCTTCCAGGAAGCCCTGTCTAGCCCTCATCCCAGTTACACCTCATTTCTGAGCTGGCCACTTGTGCCCCTAAACCTTAGTAGTGCCCAGGAGTGGGGGAGGCTCATGTGTCCTTGCCTTGCACAGCCAGAAAACCTGGTGCCCTATAAGCAATAAAAGAAGAGGGGTGGCGATGTGTAGGTGCTAAGAGCTTTGCCACAGTTAAATCTCACCATGCTTCTAAGTTAGATGAGTAGGAGACATCCCAGAGCCGTCTTTATCTGAAGGAGTTGCAACAAGACAAGTCCTGTGTATGACGATGAAGTCACATTTCTAATTATCCTGATCATACTGTAGATTTATCAAATGTGGAAATTCCATGAATGTAAGGCCAGGAAAGGCCTTCAGGCACCAAAATAAATGAGGGAGAGATTTGGAATAGGGTCCTCGACCCAGGGCTAAGGCGAGTCTTGCACTGCCCGAGAGCTGCTGGCTCTGGCCCTGGGCTGTGGAGGAAGCCGCTGCTGTCCTGAGTGATGGGGCGGAGGATCTGGGAGGAAGCAAAGCCCTGCCCTTGGGACTGCCTGGCAGGGGATTCAGGGAAGGAAACTGCTCAGCACCCACAGCCCTGGTACTGTGGGACTCTGCTCACAGTGGGCTGTGTCTGACCATGTGAATATTTGAATATTCTCAATATTTGCTATTTTACTCTCTGGTCTCCAGAAACTACAACTTGCCAGTGGTGACCCTTCCACAAGGATCTGTGGAGTGAAGTCAATACTGTGGGGTCAGCAATGGGCTGGAGATTTGAGAGAAACATTGCGGCACCTCTGCAGACATGGCAACCATGAGCGAAGTAGGATGAAATGGTACCATGAACTCAGAACAAGAGGGGTACAAACACCCTGATATGCTTCATCTGTGACATAGACAAGTTGCCCTGGAGGTGCCCATTGAGGAAGAAGGAGGGGAGGGGTGCGACAGCAGAGCTGACCCCAGACTGCTCCCCTGAGAAGATGCCAGACCCTCAGAAGCTCCCAGGCAGAAACAGCTGGGTGGGATTTGTGCCCACGTGGTGACAGGAGGATCTGTACATGCCCCTGAAGGCAGCTTGGCTGCTGACGGCCAGAAGACATCCGTCCCAGACTCCCACTCCTGACCCGGGTAGGCATCATGTCAAGGGGCAGCGTGAGCCAGCAGGGTCTCAGAACCAGGCTTGATTCTTCTGGCTCCAGAATACGACACTGTTAATCCTCTGTTGCCCTGCAGGTGACAGTGACCCTGTCTCCTAAAACACAGGAGGGAGGCTAGAGACAAAGTCTCTGCAATGTCACCACTGGCATCTAAGTGGGCAATGAACATGAAAGTCTCTTAACTTTAATACTGAAAAAGTAGCTCAAATACTTTGGTGCAATTCTGGTCAGAAAGCAAAACAAGCTGAGAACCGCATCTTCAAGGAAGCACTTGTGTTTAATGCAAACATATTGAGGATGCAGACTCAGTCCTTCCTCACCAGAGAGTCAGAACAGCAGGCGGAGGAGCAGCTAAGCTGGTCTCAATGTCCGTGAGATGCCTCCTGAGCAGGATCTTGCTCAGAGAATTTTTGGGTGATATATTAGCGTGCTCGGACTGCCACACCTAAATACCGTAGACTGGGTGACAAAAACAACAAGTATTTATTTTTTTGCAGTTCTGGAAGCTGAAAAGTCCAAGATCAAAATCCAGCAGTGTTCACTTTCTTGTAAAGGCATTCCTTCTCTGTAGTCAGCCACCTTCTCACCATGTCTTTACATGGCCTTTCCATTGTGTGTCCTCAAAGGAAGGGTGTCAGAGCACCAGAGAGAGCCAGAGAGAGAGGGACAGAGAGAGAGAGAGAGAGAGAGAGAGAGAGAGAGAGAGAGAGAGAGACTGCTTTGTTCTCTACTCTCACAAGGATACTAATCCTATTGGATAAGGGTCCCACACTTATGACTTACTTTTCCTAAATTACCTCCCTCCTCAAAAGCCCCATTAGTAAATACAATCACGTCAGGGATTAGGGCTTCAATATGTGATTTGGGGGACACAGTTCCATTCATAGCAGATGAGTTTGGCCAAGACTG